AGAGAGAGAGAGAAATATCAATGATGAGCCCTGACCCATTTGCTCAGTGGATAGAGTGTCGCCCTGGGGACTGAAGGGTCCCAGGTTTGATTCTGGTGAAGGGCATGTTCCTTGGTTCCGCGCACATCCCCAGTAGGGGGTGTGCAGGAGGCAGCTGATCGATGTTTCTCTCTCATCGATGTTTCTAATTCTCTATCCCTCTCCCTTCCTCTCTGTCAAAAGATCAACAATAATAAAAATATCAATGATGAGAGAATATCATCGATCAGCTGTCTTCTACATGCCCTCCACTGGGGGTCGATCCCGTAACCCAGGCATGTGCCCTGACAGGAAATCAAACCATGATCTCCTGGTTCATAGGTTGACACTCAAAAACCACTAAGTGACACTGGCCAGGCTCTTTTTATTTATTTATTTTTAGTTAAAATTCTTTGTAAGTAGAGAAGATATGATGATAGCTGTTCTGGATTCCGAAGGTGTAAGCTCAGGATTTACTGGAAACTTTTGGCAGCTGCAGCAATCTTTCCAAAAAAAACTTACAGCTGGAAGAAGCTGGCTTTATATGTGAGGGAGGGACTGGAGGACCATAGTTGTTATTCCGGAGTCTAGTTCCTAGTTAGCATTCATTTAGCCTTCTCTAGGTGCTGATTGTCCCAGACTAGACTATAGACCAGTGCTACTTGCACCCATAGCAGGCACATATTTGTAGAGATGAACAAATAACCACCCCATGGTTTAAAAGCTCATTGCTCAAAGACATATTTGAAACCCTTGTAAATATGACTCTAGTGATGAATATTTATGGTTCGATAGATTTATTATATTTTAAGGAATTAACATTTGAAGGTACACTAATCATGTAGAAATTAATTATACCAACTAACATAACTACAGGACAAATCTTTGTTCTTATCATGTATACCCCTAAAGTCTCCCCTTTTTTAGGCATTCTGAAAGTAACGGGAAGAAGGAGGTACTTGACGTTCTGGAATGACCCCGAAAAGGAGATACATATCAGAGAAGCTTAGCTAGCTTTAGATACTCATTCAAGCAGATTATAAAATTTCCTCTCCTGTAGTCTTTAATAATCTGATAGATCTTTGAGAAGATGTTGGTGTTTTGTTTAATCAAATAAATTAGTAACCAAGTATTAGTTACCTATTGCTGCATAAGAAATTACCCAGAACTTAACGACTCAAAACAACAACAAAAAACCCCAACTCTCTTACACAGTCTCTGTGAATCCAGATTTTGGGAGTAGCTTAGCCAGGCGGTTCTGGCTTGGAATTCATGAGGTTGTAGACAGTATGTTGGCTGGGCTGCAGTGTCTGAAGACTTGAGCAAGGCTGGAAGATCTAATTATATAGGATAGCTCACTCACATGGCTGGCCAGTTTGTGCAGGCTGTTAGCATGAGGCCTCAGTTCCTTGCTTCCCCATAGTACTATTTGAATGCCCTCCTGAAATGGCAGCTGGCTTTTCCCAGATCACATGGTTCTTGATGTCATTTATGAATAGCCTTAGAAGTCATTCTGTCATTTCTATAGTATCCTATTCAGTGTGGGATGGGACTACACAGGGGCTTGAATACCAGGAAGGTGAGGATCATTGGGGACCATCTGGAGGCTGGCCACCAAACATGGCAATATGCTGGAGGCAGAACAGAATAAATAGGAGATGTAGCCCCAACCTTTTAGGAACTAGCATTCTAAAAGTAAGTCACATTGAAACACATGGCTCAGTGTAACAACACCCATTTCATTCACCTTATTTTAAGTATCTGTTAGGTGGCAAGTATCATGTAAAATAAGACTAAAGAATGGCTTCAATACTTGCCTGGCAGGGGAGATACCATGATCACGAAGGTGGTTTTCCCAGGGTGAGGCTTATTTATTGCACTGTGGATGGGCTGACCCCTGTGATTTCCTCAAATGTGGGGAATTCTACTGCATAATTTGTGGTAGTGGGGGACTGTGTGCTCTCCTGTGAGGGCGGGGCAGGGGGGAGGAATGACTTCAAGATTTTGAACCTGGGTGAGTGGTAGTATAGTACTCTTGCAGAAAAAAATATAAAAGCCAGTAGTTGAAACTGAACTAGAGAGAAAAGGACTAATACATTTTTGATGGAGACTTTATAGGCATAACATATGAGAAGACATGGGATCAATAATTAGGAAGTGTCAACAAACAGTTGCAAAAGAGTTAGTTATGGTGAGGAACAGCAGATGGAAGTGTGAATAGGGTGGTGAGATAGGTTGGGGTATCTTAATATCTGTCAGAATTTTGAGAATGAGACTAAACAGCTTGGGCTTGCAATAGAAATTAATGAGGCCCCAATAAATCAATAAAAAGGGGGAAAAGAATGAAGCAGATAACTGCAAAAAAACCTAGATTTTGTTGCAACACTGGGGGAAAAAAATCTTAACGTAATCTTAAACTTTTTCACAACAACCCAGAATACTGTTACAAGTATCAAAGATTTTTAAGCATTAAATATTAACCATGAAACTATAAAAGAAGAAATTAAAGAGGATCCATTGAAAATATTTGCCTGAAAGGGTAATAAGAATAATAAAAATTACCATTGGAGCAATTTTTTTTAGACTTTAAACTTTCTTTTTTATTGTTTAAAGTATTACATATGTCTCCTTTTTCCCGGATCGACCCCTTCCCTGCCAAGACTGACCAGCAGACCCTGAGCTCTGGATAAATGGATTACTCTGACACATGTTCCTGTGAAAGAGGGCTAAAGGACTGCTTGGCTATAGCAACCAAGCAGCCCCATTCGCCTGCCTCCTTAGGCTTTTATTGTAACAGCTTGAACTAAAATTAACTATTAGATACTATCAGCAGGGTAAGCATCCTTGAGAAGACACATGCATTTGTAGTGTCCTTTAAGCGGGGATGTTCGGAAGTCTAAATATAAAGATTCCAGTGAAACACCCAGGGGCTCAGACTTGTTTGGAAAAGGCAAGGCAGGGGTTGCTGCCTTTGGCAAGGCCTTCCTAGAGGCCCCCAACCTTTTGGAGATTCCTCCTTACAGACTTTCCAACCAAGTCCCATGCTTCCCCACACTCCCTGGTCACTCCCACCCCCCAGGACAAGCCCCCACCACCCCAGTGTCCATGTCCATTGGTTATGCTAATATGCATGCATACATGTCTTTTGGTTGATCTCTTAAACAGCCCCTCCCCCCCCGCCTTCTTTCTGAGGTTGTACGGTCTGTTTGGTGTTTCTTTGTCTCTGGATCTATTTTTGTTCATCAGTTTATGTTGTTCATTATATTCCACAAATAAGTGAGATCATGTGATATTTATCTTTCTCCAACTGGCTTATTTCGCTTAGCATAATGCTCTCCAGGTCCATCCATGCTGTTGCAAATGGTAAAAGTTCCTTCTTCTTTATAGCAGCATAATATTCCATTGTGTAGATGTACCACAGTTTTTTAAGTGCATCTGCTGATGGGCACTTAGGCTGTTTCCAAATCTTAGCTATTGTACATTGTGCTGCTATGAACATAGGGTTGTATACTAGTATGTCCTTTCTGATTGTCATTTCTGATTTCTTGGGATACAGTCCTAGAAGTGGGATTGCTGGGTCAAATGAGAGTTCCATTTTTAATTTTTTGAGGAAATTCCATACTGTTCTCCAGAGTGGCTGCACCAATCTGGGAGCAATTCTTGATTGTAGGGGTTTATTGAGGGGTTAGGGCATTGACTATGACTATGGAAAGGAACAAACATTTTTCAAGGTTTTTGTTTGTTTATTTGTTTGTTTTTGAGACGTGTTTTATTTGACAATTGGATGTCCCAACTCAGAATGACATATATGTGTTGATTTGAGATGATAGAATAGAATCCTCTATGGTCATATGAAAACTAAGTGCATAAGGAGAAAATGGTAGAGAAGTGACAGTTTTCTTTAAGGTTTGAGATGGCAGTGAGAGCTCAAATTATCTCTCAGAATGAGTTGGAAATTGAACTATGGGAAGAAAAGCTTGTAGCAGTAACTGAAGCAGATTACTTTTAGTGATTTTGATGATGCATACCCTATATTATTGGGCCTATAAGCATAACAAGGTCTCCATGTAAGATGGAAATTTTGTGATTATCAGTAGTTATAGGGACCATGATCCTTGGTTTATGTTGGTGTTTCACTTTGACATATATTGATGGGATGAAAATTTAAAGAAAAATATATTTAAGTAACTAAAATTTTTTTTTCATGTTTCTTTCTTGGTTTGTCTTCCCACCTTTAAACACTCCCCATATCCCCATTAGGTGGTGTGGAATGGCTGCAAATCGAGGACAATGATTTCTCCAATAGACCCAACATGATTTGTAACTTTCTACATGAAAATGAAGATGAAGAAGTTGTAGCTCCAGCCCCAGATAAACCGTTGGAGTTGGAAGAGCAAAACATTCAAATGAAGTTTAATTCAAACCTGAGCTATGAACAGGAAAAACCACCACACTTGGAAATAGAGGATTCTGGTCCTCTTATTGATACTCCTTCTGAAACAGAAAGTTCTGTGTGTATGGAAACTCAAGATGCTGCCTTAGAAATCACTCCTAGATAAAATGTTTTTAATAATAGAGTTTTTTAAATTTTTATATAAAATAATTGACTGCTTAGCTTTTATTTGTTCACTATTTTATTTTTATTGGTTGTACACATTTTCAATCTCAGCTACAACTTGATATACCAGAATCATTAAAGACCAGATATAAATAGAATTTTTAAAAAATATGGTTGTTTAAAAAATAGTTAGCCCTGGACGGTGTGGCTGAGTTGTTTGGAGTGTTCTCCTGTACACCAAAAGGTGACCAGGTTTGATTTCTGGTCAGGGCACATACCCAAGTTGTGGGTTCCATCCCTCGACAGGGCGGGTACAAGAGGCAACCAATAGATGTTTCTCAAATCTGTGTCTCTCTGTCTCTCTCTTCTTCCCTCCCTCTCTAAAAAAAATCGATATAAAAAAAAACATTCTCGCCGAAACCGGTTTTGCTCAGTGGATAGAGCATCGGCCTGCGGACTGACAAAAACATTCTCAGATGAGGATTAAAAAAATACGGTTAAAATGACTATAGGGAACTTTCTCTGATGGTTCTTCATTTATTTTTTAAAAATATTTTTATTAGTTTCAGAGAGGAAGGGAGAGAGAGAGAAACATCAATGTTGAGAGAGAATCATTGACCAGCTGCCTCCTGCATCGTCCACACTGGAGATCAAGCTCACAACCCAAGCATATGTCCTGACTGGGAATTGAACCATGACCTCCTGGTTCATAGATGGATGCTCAACCACTGAACCATGCTGGCTGGGCTCTGATGAGTCCTTTAAATTGGAGGTTTACTAAGGTAGGTGTATAAGTTTTCTCTTGCAATCATCACAAATTACCACAACTTAGTAGATCAAAACAACAAAATGTATTTTCTTATATTTTGTAGGTCTGTCTGACGTGGGTCCCAGCTGGACTAAAATCTAGGTGTTGGTAGGACTTCATTCTTTTTTAAAAAAATATATTTTTATTGGTTTCAGAGAGGAAGGGAGAAGGGGAGAGAGATAGAAACATCTATGATGAGATAATCACTGATCGTCTGCCTCCTGCACGACCCACTGGGAATCGAGCCCACAACCCGGGCATATGCCCTTGACCAGGATCGAACCTGGGACCCTTCATTCCAAAGGTTGACGCTCTATCTACTGAGCCAAACTGGCTAGGGCAGGACTTCATTCTTTTCTGGAGTGGGAGCTAAGAGGTAAGGGTGAAGGATATTTCCTTGCTCATTCATTTATTGCCAGAATCCAGATCCTTGGAATGAAGGATCAGGGTCCCCTTTTCCTTGCTCTCAGCTAAGTCATTCCCAGCCTCTAGAGGCTGCCTGCATTCTTTGGCTCATGGTCCCCTTCTCTTCAAAGCCAGCAATGGCAGGTCACATTTCCTCTCCTGCTTAACATCTGTTCTATTCTTTTGTGTGTGTATTAATCCTCACCCGAGGATATTTTTCGATTTTTTTTAGAAGAATGGAAGGGAGGAGGAGAGACAGACAGAAACTTCGGTGTGAGAGAGACATTGATTGGTTGCCTCCAGCATGCACTCGGACCAGGGCCAGGGATCTGAGCCTGCAACCGAGGTATGATGTGCCCTTGACCAGAATTGAATCTACGACCCTTCAGTCCTCAGGCTGACGTTCTATCCACTGAGCAAAACCAGCTAGGGCTTGCTGCTTCTATTATCTTTGACCAACCTTTCTTGCCTTCCACCTTTAATGGTCTATTTAATTACATTGGGTCCACCTGGATGACCTCACTATTTTAAGGTGTGTAACCTTAACTGATCTACAAAGTCCCTTTTGCTATGTAATTTAACATAAACAGGTATAGAACTGATCAGTAGAGCTTAAGAACCTTTGAGGGGTGTCATTTTCCAGTCTACCATAGTAATTATACATCTGGGAAAAGAAAAATAATTTAGAAGTGCTTAAGGATAAAAGTAAAATTCCTCCTTTTTCAGCTGTAATTCCATTCCTTTCCCACTTGACTCTATTATTGGAATTCAGTTGTAAGAGCCATTCTGTTGTGATGACCTAGATCTGCTGCTCTAATTTGTATTTTTTTACATAAAATATTCACAAACTTTGATACATTGTTATAGATCTACTGTATGAAATTGCCAATATTTGATTGTTTCTAAGTATAAAAAGACAATTTCATGTGGTACTAATAACTTAAAACATATCTTACATTAATTATATCTTATAACTATTGGATATAATTTTATATTATGACAGGTTAGATAACTAATGTTATAGTATGAGGAATTTTTCTTCAATAAGTTTTGTAACTTAAAAACAAAAAATTTATCTTGACTTAAAACATTTCCAAACTATAAGCATGTATATCTTCCCAATTTTTACATCACTTTGGTCTCAGTTTTTGTTTAATAAAAAGCTTATTGATCGAACTGGAGAGGAGAACCAAGATGGCGGCATAGGTAAACACCTGTACTTGCTGCCTCTCACAACCACATCAAAACTGCAACTAAAAGACAAATATCATCCAGAGCCACGGAAAGGCTGGCTGAGTGGAAGTTCTACAACTAGAAGGAAAGAAAAAAGCACATTGAGACTGGTAGGAGGTACAGAGGTGCAGAGGTGTGGAGGCGCTCGTGAAACAGGCTGGCAACTGGGTGCGCTGTTGTTTTTTTCAATCGGGAGGGAGATACAAGCTCCCGATTGCTCTGAACTCCAGTTCCGGGCGAGACTCTGGGGACGCAGACTCATACGGGGAGAAACTAGACTGTCTGGCATTGGGACAGGAACATGAGGGCAGCTTTCTCTCAGAGGTGCTCGCAGCCATCATTGTTCCTGCGTAGGGGCTCAGGACGTGGAGATGCGGGAACCTCCCTGGTGTAGGGCTGACCGGCAGCCATTGCTGTTTGCTCCACCCTGGTGATTCCCTGAAACCCCGCCCCAATCAATTTACAACCCCACCCAAGCTGCTTTTGCATATGAATGGCCTGTGGTTTCTTAGCCTAGCCTAACAAACTGCAGCTGGGTCAGAGAGCTCCAAAGCTTCCAAAAGAAGGTCCACGGCTTGGCAGCAGTAGCCTGCCTTGCTTCACAGCTGGGCCTCATCTGGGCACTTCCAAACTCCAAACAAAGAGGAGGAATCTGCAGATCTTGCTGTAGCTCCTGCTGGATGGCCTCAGACAGTGGCTGACTTTGCACCTCCTTGGAGATCCAAGAACCAGTGTACCCAGTTGTCAATGTGAAACCATACCAGATTACAACTCTTCACATTCGTAAGTGACACACTCAAGGGGCAGACTCAGCACCAAAGCCCGACTGAAGCAAGTCCTGCCCCATAAGGGTGTCTCCAGCACAGCAGCTCTTCCATTGTAGACACAGCTGGTCCTCACAGCCAATTGGCCTGGATGTCAATTCCTCCCAGTGATACCAACAGCAATCAAGGCCTACCTATAAGTGCACACAGCCCTCAAAGGGGTGCATTTCTCAACAGAAACTGCAGGCCAGAAGGGAGTGGCAAGAAATACTCAAAGTGATGAATACCAAGAACTTACAACCAAGATTACTTTACCCAGCAAAGCTATCATTCAGAATTGAAGGTCAGATAAAGAGCTTCACAGATAAGAAAAAGCTAAAGGAGTTCATCACCACCAAACCAGGATTATATGAAATGCTGA